CTCGTGTCGATGTCCCTCATAGCCGTAGTGTATCGTCAATAGAAAGGGACGATACGCTTATTGCTGCTCCCTCTGCTTCTTCTTCTCATCGCGACCGGCGGACTTGCGCTCCAGGATTTGCTCACGGTCCTTGTCGAGCTTGAGCTTGGTGACGACGACCTTGGAGGCAGCGATGGGGATGGGGACGGACTGGCCGTTGCTCTTCTCGCGAACAACTGTGTTGTGAATTAGTATATCTGCTGGTGAGTGGGAATAGAGGGCTACGCACTGCCGTTGATGTGGAGGCAGTACTTGAGGCGGTAGACGGAGGAGATCTTGCCCTCACGTCCCTTGTTGGAGCCGCGGACGACCATGACCTCGTCCTAGGAAAAGTCAGCATACGACGAAACTGGGGGAGAAGATCTGGATACTTACATCCTTGCGGACGGGAATGCTGCGCACTCCGTGCTTCTCGCGGAGCTCCTTACTCAAAGGCGCCTGAAGGTTGTTAGAACATGTCCCATGCAATGTTCCAAGTCTCTTCATACGCTCATGATGACCCGACGCACACTACTCGGCGCACTGAAGTGCGCCTTTCGGGACTTGCGTCGAGAGCTCGCGACCATTGCGTTAACCTTGGTCATTTTTGCTGTGGGATTGGCGGTTGTCGGGTTAGTAGACAAAGTTCGTGTCGCGATCACAAAATTGGTGTTGCGAGATGTGCCTCTGCTAGGGCCGCTTCGCTTCGCTAGCGCGGTCGGAGGGGTGGTTTCTCCGCGCCGAATAGTCCGGCGCTGCAAGTCGCGTCTGCATCATAGAGCGCATCGCCGAGCCGCCGTCGCGCACTTTCAACACGCGTCGCAGTCAGTCTGCTCTCTCGTCCAGCGCATACCTTGCGCCAAGGTGCAGCCTCGATACGGACCATTCCAGAGTGCGGTATTAATATTGCATCTACATCCACCCGAACCCCCGCTCACGCCTACCCGAGCCCCTTCCCGCGAACCACGGTCCCCATGCAGCGACCGAATCTTCCCTATATAGTGGCTTCGCAAGGGCTTGCAGACCTATAGGAATACGCTGCTATGTCGTCAAACAACTACAATCCTTATAGCTACCCGTATCAACAAAGTTCGGCGCAACAGTATTCGGCATACCAGACTGCACCCGCTGCGAACAGCGCTGCGCAACCATCCCGCCAGTATCAGCAGCCGCCGACGACCCAAGCGCAAGACTACGTCTCCTACCAGCCGCAATCGTACGCGAACCAAAACAGTGGATATGGAACGGTGCAAGATAACTCATGGAGTAGCAACAACTATGGCGGGACACGAGAGACAACCAGAGGCGCCGCCGAGGTTCTGCGTAATATGAGCAGCTCGACATCGTATACGAATAATCCCACGCCGACGAATACTCAAGCGGGCTTCACCGCAACTAATACGGCCGCCCCTTCGCACTCAAGTCGCTATGCCGCCGGCAATTCGCATTCGCCCCAAGTACAGGCGCAACAACCCCACGCTGGCTACGGACAAGCGCAAGCGCGTCCACGGAGCGTCAACAACAATCGCGCGCAGCCAGCGAGTCGAGGCTTGCCATCACCGGCCGTGACGGCAGGGTACCCTTCCCAGACTCAGAGAACCCAAGCGATGTACACCCAGCAGCAACAGCGCTCTGCCAGTCCAGCCCAGCCTCAGTACAACAATGCGCCTGTTAGCAACTCACGCAGCGTAAGTATGACCACCACGGCGAACCAGCAGTATGGCGATTACAATACTCGACAGCTCCCTAGCGTTGCTGCTGAAGCCTCGCGTAACTCTCAGAACGCCACATCGTCAACGGCCTACAACTACGGCAACGCGCAAATGCCTTCTGCGATCGTGCCGCCACCACCGGCACCGGCCACCAGTATGGCGGACACATACAGTGCGCAGGGCACCACCACTGTAGACCCCATGGCAGTTTACGATCCATGGCCAGAATATCAGCGAAAGCAGGCTGCGCAGCAGGCGATTCTAGATGCAGCGCGCGCAGAAGAAGAGAGGATCGCCGAGGAGACGCGCAAACTAGAGGAGCAAAAGAGGGAAGAGGAACGCAAACAACAAGAAGAGGAGGAGGCCAGGTTGCGCGCGTCACAACCCAAGCCAAGAGCGAAGAAGGCGCAAAAACAGCAAGCGAATGCGACGGAAGCAGCTTCTGCAGCATCTAGTGCCGACGGCCCTGCTGAAGCACTAGAGAGCGAGATCCGAGCGATGATGGCTAAGATGAGAGAGCTAAACAGCAAAGACCCGGCACTCCTAGCTCGAATCTGGGAAGAAGAACGCAGAGCGAAAGCGCCCAAGTCTCCGACTGCGCAGAACAAACCCGCTCCTCAGTCTGCCACCCCGCAACCCGCACAGGCTGCACAAACCGTCACGCCCCAAGCGACGAACTCGAAGAAGAAGGCGACACCCAAACCAGTAGCGAAGCCAGCCACGCCTGCCGTACCCCAAGCTGTCCCTGTCAGACAAGCACAGCCGACCCCAACTCGACCCACAGGTAACACTCACTGGCCACCCGAGAAGAAGGCACATCTGGCGAGCGCAGCAGCAGCATATCTCAACGCCCAAAATGACGTTCGCAAAGTTGAACCTAGCCAGATATTAGGCCTACTCAACAGCAACCCTTCCTACATCGAGTTGTGCGAACAACTAGAGCAAATGGGCCTGAAGCTAGATCGCGCAGTGTTCGCTAAGAGCCTACTCACAGCAGTACCAGATGTGAATTCCGCATCCCGCAAGGCAGTACAGGCGGCGCCAGTTCCAGTACAAAAACCGCCAGTGCCGCCTGCCGTCATGAGAAAGGAAGTCGCGACCCCCGTTGCGCCGACCCCTCAATATACACCAGCAACTGCCTCACCAGCGAACGGAAGCTCTTACCCGTCGTTTCCGGGGAGCGCGTCGCCCGCACCTGCACCTGCGCCTGCACCAGTCGCCGAGATGGTGCCAATCAAGCCCGAGCTGAGAAAGCCAGCAAACAAGGAAGAGGCTGCTCGCAAACGCAATCTGAGCGATCTCATCGATTTGTCTCAACTTTCAGAAGAGGAAGACATGGGTCCGCCGCGCAAGAGAATGAATGCAGACCCTTACGCATCATACTCGCATCAAGATGCCATGGCCGTCGATGAAGAGCCTTCCACCCCGAACTTCCCCATAGCAAACACTCCTTCATATCAGCCACAAGCATCTGCGCCGCCGCCAGTTCATCCGCCGCCTAACGAACTCCGGTACCAGGTCTATGTTGAACCACTTGAGAAGAAGAATGCTCTCCGTCGAAACACATACAACCCTGCCACGATTGCAAGGGATGTACTCCTCGCTTGTGGACGCCATCCGTCTGAGCGCAATCTGAACCAACATCTAGATGGGCTGAGGACCACATTACCACAGATAACATGGGAATCGGATCTTAGTACAATCAGGTGGGACTTGATTGACCCAGGACGACCTCCTCCAGGGTATTTCAAAGACGGCGTTCAAGCCTTGACTGAGGATGCAGACGATGAGGAAGACGATTCCGACGACGATGAAGCGCGTCGTGTCCGCGCTCCGCCCAGTGCGATTGGTGAAGGTGGGGCTCAGAAGGTCCAAGCTCTACCCGAAGCCATCAATCCGTTTAAGCAGAAGCGCCGCGGTCGCCCTCCTCGACACTCCCTCCCCAACGGTGCGGGTCCAGGTCCAGCGACACCCAAACGTCCGAGCAACCCCGTTTCTATGAGCCAAAGTGCCCCACGCCCCACTTCCGGTGCTGCTGGTGTTGGATATCAAGCATTCCGCTCCGTTACGGAGTACGGGCCTGATGGCAAGCCACTACCGAAGAAGAAGGGCCGCCCAATTGGGTGGAGGAAGGCAATCCATGGATCTCCGGCTGCTCAGTCTCGTCCAGCTCTGAACGGTCACACAGGTCCTCTCAAGCACCAGCCGCCGCAACCAAGCTCATTGCGCAACGAGCCCATCCGTATCAGTTCCCGGTCGCCGAGTGTTGCAAACCATATCCCACAGTACCGATCGTATAAGTGCAAGTGGCAGAACTGTCAGGCGGATCTACACAATCTAGAGACGCTTCAAAAGCATATATACAAGGTGCATCGCAAGGAGACTCTGGAATGCTTGTGGGATGATTGCGGCAAAGAAGTCACCAACTACGACCCTATGACGAACATGAGCATCGAGCGTCATCAGCCTCATTCCTTCGATCTAGAGAGCAACTGGCGCAATCACATACACGAAGCCCATATCAGTCCTCTGTCATGGCAGCTTGGTGATGGGCCGACTGGGGGTCTCTCTGGTAAGGAAGATAATTGATGGGCTTAGATCGTCGTTGAACACTTGGAGAGAAATGATCTAACGCTCTCATTCATAGACTCGCATGATTCTGAGGCATATCTCAGCGATGCGCAGGGACGTCAAGTCACACCACGTATCACAGTCGAGCCCGAGCGAATAGAAGCACTGAGCATGTCACCACAGGCACCTGGTGGCCAAGGTCGCGGTCGCGGACGTCCACCCAAGCGTTCAGCGGAAGAAGAAGCTCGCGATGCGCACGAAAGACTTGTGTCACTCAAGAGGCGCATTGGTGGACCCGGCATGGATCGTGGAGGCGTAACGCTTGCCAACGAGAAGCGTCGAAGGGGTTTCATTGAAGGCGACGAGGAGGAGGAGGAGCTGGTAGATGCCGAGGATTGAGGACTGCGAATAACTTCAGATTTGATAGTTTTGTATAAGTACGCGTATACCCATAGCGAGAACAAGGCGCATTGGGAGTCTTTATGGGTGCGCAGTAGAAGGAAACCGAAGCATGTCTCCATGCGTAAGCCATAGCCTATTGAACTATGTTAAATCCATCAGCGGCCAAACCGCTATATTGATACGCCAGAACTCCATGCCCCCATTTGATAAAAGTCGCCGACCTGCAAGTGGTATCCTTTGTCCTCCCTCCAGCCTCTTTCCTTGTTGTGACCCTCTCCCACGTATGCACCGCGCAACTCATGCCTTGACCTTGCCTGACGCGGCCTTGGGCTTCTCCTCAACTTTGTGATCGTCGGAATTGACCTCGAGGAAATGGTATAGGACGATGAGCAGCATAGCAGCGCTTCCGAGGAAGATGGCGAGCGAGTAGAGTTGGCTGTCGGTAATCATCTTGGGTGCGACCGCGCGTCAAGTGTAGCTGGGTGACAGGTGTAAGGCGTCAAGGGCGCTGCGGAGTTGTTAGTAAATCCAATGGCAGAGACAAGAATGCCAAGAGCTTACGGAAGCTAGATGCGACTGAACAATTCGAGAGACGGGAATGTCGCGACAGTATTGGATGCGCAGCGATTGACTATTGGGGTTCATGTGAAGGCCACCTTGAAGCTTCGGGAATGTCGGCGAAGGTAGGGCTGGCTCTAGCGCCAGATGCTCCGCCACTCGAAATTCCACCCCACACAGCGTCATTCTCACTTTGACACACACGACCCAGGTCCCATATCCCCCGCCAGGCACCGAATTTTCGACTCTCCAAGGCGCCCGGATCCTTGGAACATCCCAAACCACCCACCCCACTGTCACTTCAACGTCCGTACACTATAAGCCAAGATGCCACCCAAAGGCAAGGGCGAGCAGCCCAAGGTGAAGAAGGTCGCCGTAGACAAGACCTTTGGTATGAAGAATAAGAAGGGAGGAGCCGCCCAGAAGCAGATTGCGCAACTCAAAGCCACCACCGCATCAGGTGGCACACCCGACGAAAAGCGCAAGGCCGCTGAGAAAGCCCAGCGCGAGAAAGACAAGGCGGCCGCAGAACAAGCCCGCAAAGAGACCGCCGAGCTCTTCAAACCAGTGCAGGTCCAGAAAGTACCTTTTGGCACCGACCCCAAGACCGTACTATGCCAGTTCTACAAGAAGGGAAACTGCGAAAAGGGCAAGAAGTGCAAGTTCAGCCATGACCTGGCCATCGAGCGCAAAACAGAGAAGAGGAGTTTATACACCGATAACAGAGACCAAGAAAAGGAAGAGGAAGAGGAGCGACGGAAGAAGGATAACATGGACGATTGGGACGAGGAAAAGCTGCGACAGGTCGTTCTCAGCAAGCACGGCAACCCAAAGACCACAACAGACAAAGTGTGCAAGTACTTTGTTCAGGCTATCGAGGACCAGAAGTATGGTTGGTTCTGGACATGCCCGAACGGAGGTGAGTTTCGACAACGAAATGCATGTGAGGCGCGCGCTGACCTGTATCTAAGGCGACAAGTGCATGTACAAGCACTCTCTACCACCTGGGTACGTATTCTCAATTCATTATCGCCATACAGAACGAACACATCTGGGAACCGAAACTAACATGTTCTGCAGATTCGTCATCAAGACTAGGGAACAACGCGCCGCCGAAAAGGCCCTAATGGCCAACTCACCACTCAACACCCTCACCCTCGAAGACTTCCTTGAATCTGAACGACACAAGCTCACCGGCAAGCTCACACCTGTCACGCCCGAAACATTCGCCAAGTGGAAGAAGGAGCGTATCGATAAGAAGCAGGCTGAGGAGGAGGCTAAGAAGATGAAGGATGCCACTGGTAGGGCTATGTTCGAGAAGGGTGACTGGGCGCAAGACAGCGATGCGGATAGTGATGATGAGGGCGGCGACGAGTGGAACTTGGAGACCATGAGGAAGGAAACCGAGGCAGCGAGAGCTCGAAAGGAAGAGGAGAGAATGGCAGTCGCACTCGGCAACATGACAGTATCTTGAGGATATCCATCCACCTTGGATCGAACACCACTGGGGGAGATGAAGCGGGAAGACCTCGCCGGTTGCCACACAATGCTGCAAAAGCTTGCGGGGCATTACCGGGACCTGGCTTCGATGGAAGTATGTGGAGGCGACAGATTGACTTGATGCAGTCTTTGATGCAGTCTTTTTTGCATCATCAGCATGTTGGCCGTGTCTGGGCTTCAGCGTTCATGCGGCATGTCTCAAACATCATTCGCAAAGCTTAGTCGGCTTTGTGTGAACGGCGCTGGCGTCTGGGTTCTGGTATATATTATACATGATTGTACGAATACAGAAGTACATTCACCGGGGCAAGTTGCTCTACGGACTCACATTATCGTGGTACTTAATGGGTGCATCTGATTGAAAGAGATGAATGTCAATGAGGTCCGGCATGAACGCTGATATCGGAACAAGCTGTTGTAAGATGCCTTGGGTCGAAAAGATTATGATGATCTACATGATATGAGCTTTCCTTACACCCAGAACGTTTCGTAATTTGTGATACATATCACCACGGCCAATTTCAACATCTGTACGGTACATTTCAGAATCAAGACGGAGGGTTTCGAGACCGTCACGGCGAAATTTAAATCGTGTTCATTCACTAGCAGCAAAGCTCCTACTGAAGCTATGACATTCTGCGGCAACATCCTCGATGGAAACTCCACGGGAAGCATACTCGGTACTCGCAAGCGTAGTCTTACTTACACGTGCAGTCTTATCTTCATCTCAACGACAAGCTTCGGCGCTATTACCTGCACCCTCATTGGTAGTACACGCACCCTCGTACGAAGTCAAAAAGCAAAGAAGAATCCTACTCACACACCGAACATCAAGGGAAGAAGAAGCGGTAAATGTAAGCGGCCGAAACACTCCACTTCACGATACTCCATACCATGCTCGCCTGCCTCGCCCAGATCGCGGCTGCGCGTCACCTAACCTGCATCCAACCACACTAGCCCTCCAAAAGGCAAAGTGTGAGATGTGTCTTGGCGCTCAAAATGCCGCGCATCAGTTCCGCCAACGCCTAGTCAGACTCCCCGCAACATGACGGCACGCCCATTCGGCGCACGCGGCGACCCACGTACCCAGGTCCCCAGGCCCTGGTTCCCTCTCTCGCGCATCCGAAGTCGTGTGCCGGCGCGCACTACGCACTCCCGAGTTGTCTTGCCATGACGAAGACGCGGCCGAGGCTAGCCTTGGTCCGTGGTTTGATGGCGTCGTTTACTGATTCTTAAAGAGCAGGTGCCGGTCACTGGGATCGTCGGTTACTGTTCGAGTTAATATACTTTATACCCTTTTTACATCCTTTACGCCTCTTTCTTTACGCCCTGTCGCCTGCATTGAGCATTTCGGTGTAGCTGAGAGCGAAGAGATTACTTGACTTTGATCATTGAGTGTGGGGCATCATCCGCATTCCCGGATCGTTCCCGACGCGTTTGTGTCTACTTGAGAGACTCTTCCTTGGATCTGGGTTGAAAGAATAGCAATGGCGGTGGAAAACTACGATATCGTTATCGTTGGCGCGGGACCCGTTGGTCTCTGTCTGTCAACATGTCTCGCAAGATGGGGCTACAAGATTAAGCACATTGACAATCGACCGGAGCCGACCGCCACTGGACGCGCAGACGGAATCCAGCCGCGTTCTCTCGATCTGCTACGCAACATGGGTCTCAAGCGAAAGATTATGGAATACGAACCTGCAAAGGTTTATGAGGTGGCTTTTTGGGATCCGGCGCAAAAGGGTATTCACAGGACAGGTACTTGGGCTAGTTGTCCAAAGTTCATCGATGCGCGGTACCCGTTTACTACCCTTCTTCACCAGGGTATGATCGAGAGGACGTTTATTGGGGATATTGAGAAGAATGGTGGTCAGATCCAAAGACCATGGACGATTAAGGGCTTCAAGAACGACGGCAAGGATCAGACTTATCCTGTAGAGGTCAACCTGGCACATGTCGATGGCACCCATGAGGAGACTGTGCGCGCAAAGTATCTGTTCAGTGGAGAGGGAGCGAGGAGTTTTGTCCGGGATCAGCTGGGTGTCAAGATGATCTATAAGGATCCTATTGCGCATGTTTGGGGTGTCATGGATGGTGTTGTTAGGACGAACTTCCCAGACATCAAGGTATGTATCTTCTACGTTATTCGCTTCTATGGGTACTAACAGTGACATAGATGAAATGTACAATCCACTCCGACAACGGCTCCATTATGATCATCCCACGCGAGAACAACATGGTCCGCTTGTACATCCAAGTCGCATCTTCCACGGACAAAGACTGGGACCCGCGGAAATCTGCCACTGCGGAGGATGTTCAGGCGCGTGCCAAAAAGATCTTCGAACCGTACACCATCTCTTGGGACCGCGTAGAATGGTACTCAGTCTACCCTATCGGCCAAGGTATCGCGGAACACTACACACTCGACGAGCGCGTCTTCATGGGTGGTGATGCGTGCCACACACATAGCCCCAAGGCTGGCCAGGGCATGAACACAGCGTTTTTGGACGCAGTAAATATTGCATGGAAGATCCATCACGTAGAGAGCGGCTGGGCACCCCGATCCCTCCTCTCGACATACGAATCCGAGCGCAAACTCATCGCCGAAACCCTCCTCGACTTCGACGCCCGCTACGCAAAGCTATTCTCCGCACGGATACCCTCAGCCGGTGAAGTCGCCGGCGCATCCGCAAAAGAAGCTCCAGAAGACAACGAGTTCATCAAGACGTTCAAGGCCAGCTGCGAGTTTACCAGCGGATATGGCGTAGCCTACAAGCCCAACATGATAAACTGGGGCCCGGAACACTCCGCACAGCACCCTCTCATCCTCTCCTACCAAAACGGCACAAGCCAACGGACAGGAAGAATCATGACCCCCGCAACCGTCACACGAGTCGTAGACGCCAACGTCGTACATCTCGAACAAGAAATCCCCATGAACGGCTCCTACCGCATGTTCATATTTGGTGGTAGCTTGGACAAGAGCGCAACAGCACTTAGAGATCTGGCGACGCAGATGTCATCTCCTACATCCTTCTTCAGCACGTTCCTCCACCGCGACATCAAGGAGAAAGACCGGTACCACGAACGCCACAACCCGCACACCGATTTCCTCTCCCTGGCCCTCGTCTTTTCGGCGCCCCGCTCAAGTATTCACATCGACGAACAACTACCCCAGCCTTTCAGCCGCTACGCCGATCACGTTTACGCCGATGATGTCTGGGACCAGAGGGTTCCTGATGCAAAGGCTGCGGCGCATGCTAAGATGGGTCTCGATGAGGAGACGGGTGGTGTTGTCGTTGTACGGCCGGACGGCTATGTTGGTGTCGTTGTCAAGCTGGCGGAAGGCAAGGGCACGTGTGAAGCGTTGGATGCGTGGTTCTCGGGGGTTA